CCCTGTGATTTTCATGATAGGGCAGCATTATAGGTATTTTTTTTTTCAAATTGCTTAACTATACAAGAATATTAGAGGATTTACTATTCCATTTATCTAGAATCATAGAGGTTAATAAAATTGAATTAACGAAAATGGACATTTTATTATTTAATAAAACTATCATTTTTATTATGTCAAATCATCAATGGAGAGGAGGAGTTTTGCAGTAGAGGATCTGTATTTTGACATGAGATCCATTTTACTTCTGGGTAGCTTCCCCAAAGGAGGGCCTACCAACTGACATTTAGGTTACATCCCTAAGAGGATAAAGATTCCAGGCTGGGGTCACAGTGATATGTGGGACAAGGGGCAAAAGTATCTGACTAAAGGTGAGTGTAATTTGCAACCATTTTTTTAACCTTCAAAAGTTTAACATACCTTGACTTTCATAAATTTTTTTTTTCTTCATAGAGGTCTTTAGCTGTTTTCTTTTTTTGTACTGGGGCTTGAACTCAGGGGTACTTGACCACTGAGCCACACCCCAACCCTATTTTGTGTTTTATTTAGAGACAGGGTCTCACTGACTTGCTTAGGGTTTCAATATTGCTGATGCTGGCTTTGAACTTGTATTCCTCCTGTCTCAGCCTCCCAAGCTGCTGGGATTACAGGTATGCACCACCGTGCCCAGCTTTAGCTATTAACTTTTAAGCTGTTTATTTCACTGTTAAAACTGATAAAGTCAAATCGTATTTTATTTCTCCTTGATGTGCTTTTGTAGTATTTATTGTCCAGTGGATTAAGAAAATAGCGTAAACATTGATTTGCAACGAATCTTATTCCTGATGAATGAATTCTTGTCTGTATTAGAAAAATAAAATTCTAGGATATGGAACTTTGACTTTTAAAAGTTATATTAGACATTTTTAAGGGATTTTTGAGTTATTTAGAAATTTGTTACCCCTAAAAATTAAAGTTTAAAAAATGGGACAGTAAATAGATTTTAGAAGATGTGAAAGTAGAGACCACAAAAATGCATCAAATTTATAAAAGTTTTTAAAATCTAAGTTCTAGAATTTTAGAATTGAAATGAGCATTTGAGATTATCCTGTCAAATCCCTGAAATTTGACACTAGGAAATTAAGGTCCAGATAGGTTGTTAGCCATGATCGTTCTTTTAGAAAATTTAAAATTCAGTGTGTCTGAGCTTATTACAATACATCTATTAGCTTATTACACCTCTCCCTCCCCAGCATACTTTTTCCCATATCAGGTGTGAAGTCATTTCTTTATTTAGCCATCAGATACTTATCTAGCTCTGTTATATATAAGGATCTTGGTTGAGAACTTGGAACACAGATGGGATTTTCAAGACATGGTGCCTGGTCTGTGAGACATCCTGGATGGAGCGTTAGGCAGATGCAGGAGGCTTTCAGTTAAAGACAGCGGAGGAGTCTGATGGGTGCCACAGGCCACATGTGCTCTCAGAGCTCAGCAGAGAGCAGACACGCCATGATTAGAGAGGCTTCATGCCTGAGGCGGTGGGATTTGGAGGACTGCGAGAATTTTATTATGTTGGGGCAGACATTTCATTTGATATTGGAACTTCAGGGGAATAGGATGTAAGCAGCAGAAGGTAGGTGAGAAAATATAAATATGTTTGGGAAATAGATACGTTGGAGTTTTATAAGAGAGGTAGCAACAAGGTACAGACATGGTTTACTTTATTACACTTTGATTTATTGTGCTTTGCAGATATTGCATTTCTTAAAATAAATTGAAGATTTGTGGCAGCCCTCTGTCAAGCAAGTTTAATGGGTCCATTTTCCTAACATGTCAGATGATCATTAGCATTTTTTTAACAAAGTATTTTTATTTAAGGTATGTACATTTTTTAAACATAGTGCTAGTATACACTTACAACTACAATATAATATAAGCATACCTTGTGTACGCACTGGGACACCAAAAGCTCTGTGTGACTTGATTATTTCAACATTCGTTTTATGGAAGTAGTCTACAACGGAAGCCTGAATGTCTCCAGAGTATACCTGTATTGATCAAGGGCACAGACCCTGGATCCAGACTGTCTCCGTGCAAATTCCGGCCCCTTTCCACTTTCTTGCTTTGTTATCTTAAGCATTTACTGAATTTCTTCATGCCTCGTTTCCTTGACTATAGAATCCCAATAAAAGACATCTTACTGGATTTTTTTTTTTAAAGAGAGAGGTTTTTTTTAAATATTTATTTTTTAGTTTTTGGTGGACACAACATCTTTATTTTATGTGGTGCTGAGGATGGAACCCAGCGCTCTGCACATGCTAGGTGAGCGTGGTACCGCTTAAGCCAAATCCCCAGCCCCTTACTGGATATTTTAAGGATTAAATGAGTTAGAGGCCTTAGAATACTGATAGTAGTTAGAACTATGTAAAAGTTAAATAGATAATTAGTGGAGGATTCAAATGGGAAGATAGGTTGAAACCAGATTAATTGTGGGAATTTGAGCCTTTTCTTGTAGGCATTGGGGAGAACTCTTTGGGCAGGGAAGGTAGCATAGTTACACGGGGAGGGTTTGGGAAGAACAGTCTGCTTCCCAGGAGTAGCAAAAGACTAGAGGCAAAGAGCAGGTTCAGAAGTGGTTAGCAGTAGTTTAGGCTTTTAAACTCAAAGGGCCTCTTAAGATGGTGATTATGAAAATAGAAGTGACAGATGCTAGTTGTATTTAATGGAGGAGAATGATAAGCTTTCAGAAGTAATATATATGTGAAGAAGGAGACAGGGCAAAGATAATATCAAGACTTTGCCTCTGGGTAAAGAGTGAGGTGACATAAATGTAGAACTTAGGACATGGGTTTATTATTGTTGATGTTGAAACTTTAACAAGAGCTGAGGTGCTTCTGGGGAAAGAGATAATGAATTCCTTTTGAGTTTGAGAATTTAGTATAATATTCATGTGGAAATACACCATTAGTGTTGGATATGCAGGGCTGAAGTTTGTTTGTTTTGGTATTGGGATTGAACCTAGCCCTTTTTTATTTTTTAATTTCACACAGGGTCTCACTATGTTGCTTGGGGCTTGCTGAATTGCTGAGGCTGGCTTTGAACTTCTGATCCTCTTGCCTCAGACTCCCAAGGGGATGAAGCTATTGAGAGAGGTGAAGGACAAGGATATTCAGTGCCATTCAAAAATGAATATCTCTAGGATGAAATTTTTTCTAAAAAAATAATAGGCCTTCCTTATAAATTTTAAGTCCAAATTATGTCACTTTTTTTTCCAAGGCAACACTTAAAATTATACTAAGAAGATAAGGGCTTGCCTAGAAGGTAGACTGCTGTATTTCTCAGTGGCTCAAATATATACGTATGCCTGAGTCACTCTTACGTTGAGACTCTATTCATCTACCAGGCCTACCTCAGCACTTTCTAAACTGCACTGTAATTTATCTCTGTCCCCCATTAAATTTAAAATTTTCTTAAAGATTTATGTGTGATTTCTGACTAGGTCAACCATGTATCCTCAGGGCCTAACACTTCGTAAGGATTCAGTAAATGTACCTTGGGGAAATACATATTTATTAGTTACCACGTGTCAAGTGATAGGCTAAGTGCAGAGGACCAAAATGATTAAATAACCCACAGGAAATCATGGTCTTCGTGCAGATAAATATTTATTATTACAGATGCAGTGTATTGCGTGCAGTATTTGTTCCACAGGACAGTGTGGTAGTAAACATGCTGCTGTGGCAGCAGAGAGGAGTAACTAGATCTGTGATGGAGAATATCAGGATGGTTTCCAGAGCAGGTGCCTCTGAGCTGAGACTTGAAAGACACCAGAATTCAGTACGCAAATGTGACGAGGAAAGTCCCTAAGGCAGAATGGTTGTCTATCCAAACGTGAAAGGTGTAGGAGGATGTAGTGTGTTTGGGGAATCATATGGCTGAAGCATAGAGTGTTTCTATGGGTCATGTAACAAAAGACTGCTGAGTAGCTGGAGGTAGCTGCCTTTCTTGAAGAGCCCTATGTGTCATGCTAAAGATACTGAGTCATCGAAGAGCTTTATCTGGAGATGACTTGCAAACGTAGAAAGATGCTCTTCCAGTAGCAGGAGGATTGATTGGTTGGAGGTGGACATAGCTGAAGAGAGGTAAGGAATATAATGAAGAGGCTGTCACAGTATTCAGAGCCACGGCACTGACTGTTTGGCCTGGATTTGTAAGAGGTGTTGAGAAAAAGTGTGATATAGGGAAAGGGAGAGGGATGAGTTGTATGACTCCCAGATTCCAGGGTCAACTGAAGGCTTATTGGTGATTTCTGACACCACCTATGCAGAGTTGGGCCAAACTTCACAGGCTGAGAGCAGTTTTCCTCAAAAAAGACATTTTCTGTGACATGTTGAACCCAATATTCCTTGCCCTCAGTAAGGGACCAATCCTACCTTCCACATTCATCTATAATATATACCTTTTAGTAAAAAAAATTAAGATGCATTTGACGTAATAAGGTAGCAGTGAAATCCACTGGTCATTCCAACATGATCAAATTAACTAGAATTGTGTCAGCTTAATGTAGTATAAATAAAATAGTATTAATCATAAAAGAGCCACTAAATACATACTAAAAACTAAACTTGAACTGCTTCTTACATTTGAAAACAAATACATCAAGTATTCTACAAAAACAAATCAGTGAATAATGAAAATGCCTTAAGAAAACCAACCCTCTGATGTCTTGAAGATCAGTGAATTTTTACATGGTTATTATTATTTCATCTCCTCAGGAACTTACTCCTGTAATTGTCACCTGTTTCTTATATCTTCTTATCTACTGGCTTTTTCTCCCCACAGTATAGAAACTTACTTCAATCACTCTTCACTTTTTTTCTATCTATAAAATGATACTCCTGCCAAATGTACTGTGATCTTACTGTGACAGCTGTGTTTATGTACTTCAACATGATAATTTATTAAAAAAAAAGTATTTTAATCTGAAAAATCATTTAATTCATCTTTTGAAATTTCAGGGTGTGCTGATGGTTGGACCCCCAGGCACTGGTAAGACTATGCTGGCAAAAGCTGTTGCCACTGAATGTGGCACAACATTTTTCAATGTTTCTTCTTCTACACTGACATCTAAATACAGAGGTGAATCTGAGAAGTTAGTTCGTCTGTTGTTTGAAATGGTGAGTGATGGTGTATTCAGATTTAAAGTACTATTTGTGTGGGCGTATGGTGGCCCCACATTCTAGTCCATTCTCCTAGGAATCTTTTCAAAAAGGGCTTGTGGTTATATTTCAATAGTTCTGGACATACACCCGCCTTGAGCAATGGGGCAGTGGGTTTTGTGAGGTAGTTGATGTTCTTCAGTGTGTCTTTCTTTCTGAAGAGGGCCGTCTGGTGTCTTGCTCAGTGAGTAGAAGAGAATCTGACTGTATACAGATCAACTGGATAGTGTTTCTGGATATCTAGAAGATTGGTGGAGCAGAAGAATATTTTTATATGTATTTAAATACATAGCACAGATCACTTCATCAGAAACTGACGTAGCATTAAAACTAGTTCCTTTTTCAGAAAGGATTTGTAATAATTAAGAATGCATGTGGGCTGGGGATATAGCTCAGTTGGTAGAGTGCTTGTTTTGCATGCACAAAGCCCTGGGTTCAATCTCCATCACCACACATACACACAAAAAGAATGCATGTTTGAGGATAGAAGTTGATTTATCTTTCAAACTTTTTTCATTATGGATATTACCAAACACAAAAGTAGAATAGTATGGTGAGGGGCTGGGGATATAGCTTTGTTGGTAGAGTGCTTGCTTTGCATGCACAAGGTCCTGGGTTCAATCCCCAGCATCACCAGAAAAAAAAAAAAGCTACATGGGGATTCGCCATACTATTCTATCATCCAACTTTACCAACCATATAACTTTTTCAGTTTTAGAAAGTTTTACTTATCTAATTGATTTAACTTCTGTTAACAACCAGATTGTGGTGGCATTGAAGTTGAAAGTTAGGTTTTCAACTTTCATTTGCTTTATTTTAAAAGGAAAAAATGATATTTTAAAAATATTCAAATTATTTTATGAGATAGATGAATAATTTCTTTAAAATATTTTTACAAAGGCTAGGTTTTATGCCCCTACCACAATCTTCATTGATGAAATAGACTCTATCTGTAGCCGAAGAGGAACTTCTGATGAGCATGAGGCAAGTCGCAGAGTCAAGTCTGAGCTCCTCATTCAGATGGATGGTAATTGATATTTAATTATGGTTTCAAAACTGGTATCTTTACGTTTTTAGCTTTGCATAAAATCATACTTTGGATGTTTTCAGAGAATGGACTAAAAGGAAGTCTGAATTTATTTTTAACCACTTATGTACCCACCCGCTTGTTCATCTGTTTGTGAATTAGTACAGGACCACCGCAAGGCCTTCAGGGAGTCTCTGTGACAGCAGAGGCTCTAGAGGTGTGACCTAAAGTTCCAGGGGTCCTTGAGACCCCTTGAAAGGCTTTGCAAGGCCTAAACTATTTTAATAGTAATATCAAGACTTTGCCTTTTTACTCTCATTCTCTCACAAGTGTATGGTGGAGTTTTTCAGAGAATATGAGACCTAGGAGTAGCAGAAAAGGTAGAAACCAGAAGCAGATGTGAAAATCCAGCTGTTCTCTGTAGAGTCAGACATTAAAATGTTTTAAAAAGTCTCTTTTTACTAAACTTATTTTCACAAAATATGTCATTTATGTTAACTATTCATGGATATATTATTATTTTAAAACAATCATATTTTGTAAATTTAATTTATAAATGGTGAATATCAGTAGATATACTCCACACATACAAAAGCTCTTTGGCACTCCCAAGAATTTTTAAGATTGTAAAAGAGTTCTGAGACTGAAAATTTTGAGAGCCACTTTTAGCCAGGAAGCAGACAACCAATGAGAAAATTTGTAATACATGCTGATATGTTCTGTGGTAGAACTAAGCTCTGGGTGCAGTGAAAATACAGTAGGAGTCTCACCACCCAGACTAAGGGAGTCATGAAGGGGATAGGTGAGTTGGGCTTTGAAGCATTGGTTAGGGTTGTCCAGACAAAGAAAAAAAAGGCATTGGGTAGCCACCCCAAAGAGTTATGTGCTTAGAGGTGCTGCTTCCTCTGCTAGTGCATGGTATGCACCATGAGAAAAGATTAAAAGCTATTAAAAAAATATCCAGAGTATTTGTTTCAAAATAGTTACCCACTGACCATGAATAATTAATATTTATGGTGTGTTATATGTAGTGTCTTTTCCTCAGTTTGCCATTTTAACTTTTGCTTAAGCATGTGAGAAAGGAGGAGCTGTATTATGTTTTACAGGAAGGGTGTAGGGGAGAGTATTAGTTTATCAAAATTGGAAAAAAAACCCTGAATACACATTTAATCAGCAAACTTTCATTGAGACGTGTTTGTGACTGTGGTTGATTATCAGTTGGACAGCTTGATTCTTTGGGATAGGATTGAAATAGGAGTTTTAGTATTAATTTATTGTGAAAATGCATATTAAACTTAGTGGCTCTAAAACCACTAATTTGTTATACCAGGCTAGAAAATCGTATCAGTAAAGTTTATGAGGTTTTTTTATTTTTTTTAAAGAATATTTTTAGTTATAGATGGACACATTATCTTTACTTTAATGTATTTATTTTTATGTGGTGCTGAGGTTTGAACCCAGTGCCTCACGTGTGCTAGGCAAGCACTCTGTATAATTCACCCATTATTTCCAGAGTTTCTGTTATGTGATCTAAAATCTTTTAATGTTCTTTTCAGTGCCTTATAGTTATACATAATATTGGGGTTTATTTTGACATAATCAAACGTGCATGGAATATAATTCTCTTCACTTCAGTCTCCAGTACTTCTTTCCTTTCCCTCCTCCCTTCCCCCATTCCCCTTTCTCTACTCTACTTTGACCTGAAATTTTATTTATATTTCTTAAATTTTAACTCTGAAAAGGCAGACTATTTGTACATACTTGTAGTTGATTTGGTTATAAAAGTAAACAGTATTTAAATTAGACTCAGAACTAAAATAAAATAATTTTTGAGGAAATTTGTGGTTAAAAAAAAAGAAAGAATGAAGCCAGGTATAGTGGTTAATGCCTGTGATCCCAGAGACTTGGGAGACAAGGCAGGAGTGTCACAAATTTGAATCTAGTTCAAGACCCTGTCTCGAAAGAAAAAAGTATGGGGGTATAGCTAGAGAAAGAAAAAGAAATAGACTAGTATCTGATGTCTTTTCAGAAGAAATATACTTATTTTCTTAGAAAATTTAGTTTTTCTTACTGCATTAGAACCCTGAACAAGATTTTGTGATTTTTTTACTTCCTTGTTTTGTAGTTATCTATTGTTGTGTCTCATTTTGTCACCAATTCTGCCACAAGCACCATGATAGAAATGTTAGTTGAATAAAATAATAAAGGGCTGTAATAAAAACAGTGACAGCCTTTTCTCTCTTAATGTGTCTAGGAGTTGGAGGAGCTTTAGAAAATGATGATCCTTCTAAAATGGTTATGGTATTGGCTGCTACCAATTTCCCATGGGACATTGATGAAGCTTTGCGAAGGAGATTAGAGAAAAGGATATATATACCTCTCCCAACAGGTATGATACCTTCCTTCTATTGAACCTTGAATTCTTCTGTCATTTCTGGTTACCTTTTTCTCTTTATCTCTTTATTCCATTGTCATTCTGCTTAAATAAGTTTGTAGCATCACAAAACCAATTTGTAGTAGATAGAAACAGAGGCCACACAGTACTCTATTGAAGTACCTTATTTTTAGAGAAATTCTTACAGTCAGAACAGTATTTTTGTTAATAAACTTGATAGCAATTAAGTTTTTACTTTGAACTTGAAGAGTCTTCAAACTTAAGTGATTAAAAATGACATTCTCTTGGGGTCTTTTTAAAAATATGCTGCTTTGAAAAACATAATTTCATCTTAATGGATGTTCAAATTTTCATAAGTGATTTTTTTCTTTCTATTTTGGGATAAAATTTGCATGTAGTAAAATGTACATGTCTTAAGTGAATAATTCAGTAAGTTTTGATAAATGTATCTCCCACTTTAATCAATGCCCCATTGAAGATATAGGACATTTATATTACCCTTGAAAGTTTCTGTGTGCCCCTACAAGTTAATTTAAACCTCCATTAGACATTTGTGTTAGTTTTTCATAACTGTGACAAAGTACCTTACATAAGCAACCTAAAGGAGGAAAGATTTATTTCACATTCAGAAGTTTCAGTTCATGGTTATCTGGCTCCATGCTTTTAGGCCTGAGGTAAAGCACAACATTATGGCAGGGAGCATGATGTGGTATGAAGCTATTCAGCTCATGGTGGCTGGGAAGGAAAGATGGAAGGGGCTGGGGACAGGATATGCCCTTCCAGGGTACATACCTCTTTATGTACTTCTTCTGACTAGGTCCTACCTTATGCAGATTCTGCCACTTCCTTATAGTGTCACCATCTGGGGACCAAGACTTCAACACATGAACCTTTGACATTTCAGATCCAAACTATACAACATTCACTTTACCTGATTTTTATCACCACAGATTAGTTTTGCCTTTGTTAAACTTTATATAAATGGACTTGTAACAACATGTAGTCTTGCTTCTGGCTACTTTCATTCAATGAAAATTTTTTGAGATCATTTATATATTATAAGTTTTCAGAAGCTTATTCTTGAAATGATGATACCATATTTATTCTTCTTTTGATAGGCATTTCAATCACTGTTAGTTTCTGGCTATTGTGAACCAAGCTATAAACCTTTTTGTACAAATCTTTTTATGGATGAATATTTTTAATTTAATATAATTAGAATATATTAATATATTATAAATTAGAATATGGGTCATATAGTAGGTATATGATTAACTTTGTTTTTTTATTAGTTGTTCAAAACATTACAAAGCTCTTGACTTATCATATTTCATACATTTGATTCAAGTGGGTTATGAACTCCCATTTTTACCCCTTATACAGATTGCAGAATCACATCGGTTACACATCGACGTTTTTACATACTGCCATACTAGTATATGTTGTATTCTGCTGCCTTTCCTATCCTCTACTATCCCCCCTACCCCCCTCCCTGCCCATCTTCTCTCTCTACTCCATCTACTGTAATTCATTTCTCTCCCCCTTTTTTTTTTCCCTTTCCCCTCACTTCCTCTTATATGTAATTTTGTATAACGATGAGGGTCTCCTTCCATTTCCATGCAATTTCCCTTCTCTCTCCCTTTCCCTCCCACCTCTCGTCCCTGTTTAATGTTAATCTTCTTCTCATGCTCTTCCTCCCTACTCTGTTCTTAGTTGCTCTCCTTATATCAAAGAAGACATTTGGCATTTGTTTTTTAGGGATTGGCTAGCTTCACTTAGCATAATCTGCTCTAGTGCCATCTATTTCCTTGCAAATGCCATGATTTTGTCATTTTTTAGTGCTGAGTAATATTCCATTGTGTATAAATGCCACATTTTTTTTTTTTATCCATTCATCTATTGAAGGGCATCTAGGTTGGTTCCACAGTCTAGCTATTGTGAATTGTGCTACTATGAACATCGATGTAGCAGTATCCCTATAGTACGCTCTTTTAAGGTCTTTTTGTAAGAAATACCCCACTTGTTTTCCAGAGTGATTATACCATTATATACTCTCAACTGTCAGTGAATGAGAATTCCAATACTTTCATGTCCTTGCCAACATTTAGTATTATGAGTAAATTTTAATCTTATTCATTCTTATCAGTCTGAAATGCTCTCTCTTTATGGCTTCAGTTTGTATTTCTAATTGTTATATTGCTATATTTTTTATGTGGTATTTCCCTCCAGGTGTTTTTTTTTTTTTTTTTTTTTTTAAAGACAGGGTCTTACTAAGTTGCTCAGCAGGCTGGCCTCAAATTCGTGATCATCCTACCTTGGCTTCCCAGGGAGCTGGGATTATAGGAATTAGGCACCATGTCCAGCTTTCCCGTTTTTAATTGAGTTATTTGTTGTTTTATTAATGCTTTATGTAAGGTTCTTCAACAGTCTTGTGGATATTTTCTGTTTTGTAGTTTGCTTTTCACTTATCTTTATACTGTATTTTTTATGGTATATTTTGATGAGCAGAAAAATTTTAATTTTGATGAAGTCCTGTTGTCAAATTTTTCTTCTATGGATAGTGCTTTTCATGTCTTAAGAAATTTTTGCTTACCCTAAAGCTGCAGAGTTTCCTGGATTTCTTTTAAGAAACTATATTTAAATATGTGAACCCTCTTGATTTAATTGTGTGTATATGAGTTCGAGGGATGGTTAGATGGTGGAGTTGGGTTTATTTTTTCATAGTCTATACAATTATTCTAGCACCACTTGTTGAAAGGACTTTTCTTTTTCCATTAAATTATTTCAGCACTTTTTTTTTGAAAATTATTTTACTATGTATGGGTCTTTTTCTGAATATATTTAATGGATAAATAAATATAGGGCTATCTTCAAGTTAACTATTTCTTCTTGAGTAGGTTTTGGTAACTTGTGTCTTTCAAAGAACTGATAAATTTCCTCTAAGTTGCCAAATTTATTTGGATTTTAACTAATATATATGTGGATGCTGGCTAAACAGTTTAGGTGAAGCTGTTGATTTCCTGTCTGCAACTTAGTGTCAGAAGGTGGAGGCACTCAGGAACAGAAGATGAATATGAAGTGGTTGAAGTAATGACAAACTGTAATCTGTGGGGATGAATAGGAGCCCAGGAGGATAGATCAGAACCCATACTGGGCTCTTTTTTTTCTAAGATTTCCAACTTTGACAGAGTTTCCTATAAAAGAAGCTGGGTAAATGTATTCCTAGCTTGTTGAGTCAAAAAAGCTGAAGGAAGAAATACAGCAGCAGCTAAAAGAGCTGCCCCACTAACAAGGGGAAACCAATACCTATGTGACAATGTGTATCAACTGTGAGAGTTGATTCGTTTCTGCCCTTGACTTGCATGGACTACAGCTAACTCGGAAATATGCAGTGAGGAGAATTGTGGGAAATGAATGCCAGCTTTTCTGGAGCTGGCATAATACAAATCCACACACTTCACTTTCCTTTTTTAATCTATAGGATCTGTGGTAATGGCTCAGTTTTCATTCTTAATATTGGTAACATATCTCTAGTCTGTCATTCTTGCTATCCATCATTTTTGGATTTTTAGCTCTATCTAATTTTTTTAGTAGTAGTTTTAACAATTACAATATGCACAGTTTTGGGTTTTTTTGTTTGTTTTTGGTATTGGGGATTGAACGAGGGATGCTTTACCACTGAGCTATTATTATCCTTGGTCCTTTTATTTTTTAATTTGAGACAGTGTGTCTCTAAGTTGCTGAGGGTCTTGCTAAGTTGCTGAGACTGGCCTCAAACTTGGGAACTTTCTGCTTCAGCCTCCCAAATCACTGGGATTATAGACGTGTGCCACCAAGTCTGGCTTGCATAGTTTTATATATTTATTTTATGCTTTTATCTTTTAAATTCTATACCTAAAATAAAAGTGGTTCATATGCCACCATTATAGTATTACAGGATTCTGCCTGTCTCTATATTTATCTCTACCAGAGAGCTTTGTTTTCTCCCCTACCCACCTTTTTTGTTTGTTGTTGTTGCTGCCTACCATATTTTTGTGTCAACTTGAAGGACTCCCTGTAGTGTATTTCTGGAAGGCAGGCATACTAGTGATGAACTCCTTAGCTTTTGTTATCTGGGAGAGTCTATTTCTCTTGGAAGAGCAGTTTTGCCTAGTACCATCTTTTTGGTTGGAAGTCCTCCTCCAATATTTTGAATATATGCCATGCCTTTCTACCCTGTTATGTTTCTGTTGCAAAATCTGCTGAAATCATATGGGGACTATTTTATAGGTGAAAAAACCACTTTCAAGGCTTTTCCTTTGACTTTTGATGGTTGATACAATGTATTTGAATGTGAACTTCTGGTTTATTCTCCTTGAAATCCTTTTGAGCTTCTTGAATTTGGCATATTTTTTTTCCATATTTGGTAAGTGTAGGGCCATTGTTTCTTCAAATAAGCACTCTGTCCCTTTCTCACTTTCTATCCTTCTGGAATTCTCATAATATTCATATTGGTCTATCATATTGTCCCATAAGTTCCTTAGGCTTTTTAACTTTTCTTCATTCTTTTCAAATTTTTTTCTCTTGACTCAGTTAATTTCCAGCCACCAGTTTTGAGTTCACTGATTCTTCTTGATCAAATCTGCTGTTGAATCCCTCTAGTGAATTTTTCAATTCAGTTATTATATTCTTCAGTTCTAGAATTTATGTTTGGTTCTTTTTAAAGTTTTTCTTTGTTGAATTCTTATTTAGTTCTTGCATCATTTTCCTGATTCATTTAGTTGTTCATCCATATTTTTGTTTAACACCAAGTTTCTTTTAAGATTATTATTTTGAATTCTTTAAAAAAAAAAAAAGAGTTGATACTGTTTTCCTTTGATTGGGCCACATTCTCTGTTTCTTCATATGCCTTTTTATTTTTTGTCATGATTTGCGCATTTGAGAGAATAGCCATCTCTTCTAGTATTTGTGGAATAACTTAACAGGGGAAGAGATTCACCAGTCAGCCTACCTTG